GATGGGGGGGGAAGGGGAGGCGGAGGTGGGGAAGAGACAGAAATCTTAAAAAAAAAAAAAAAAAAAAAGATTAGGTTGTGAAATTCCCTAATGCTTCTTGTGCTGAAATTCAAGGATCATTGTTCAAAACAGGGTGATCCTGGAAACGAAACACATCTTCAGCCACCCATCACTTTCTGTTTTCTGGTCTTTCTAGCAAATGTTCAGATGCTGTGACAATAGTACCACTTGTCCTCTGGACGGTCCAGTGACTATCACAACTGTCCAGCTAGTTCTGGAATCACTATTATCGGCTGTTTTCCAAGTTCTGGTCATTTTGTTTCGGCAGCTGGAACTAAACAGGTAGAAATGAATAGCCCTAAGAAACTAGATAGTATGTCAGACTGAGCATGCCAGTCAAACAGTAGTATAAGCGAGAGCCCTCGGTGGAATCTCTGCTAGCAGGACACTGGGTAAAATCCCTCCACAAAAGCGGTGGTGCATAGCAGTAGACCAGCAGGATGCTCCTGGTCACCGCTTCTGTAGTGTTACAGATATAAGGTAATGCTGTCAGAAAGGGAATATGGATTTTGGGGCAAAGATCAGGGTGGGATAAACCCATGGTGACCCCACCATGTCAAGGCCTGCATAAATGTTGCTACTTGGTTTTTGAGCTAGGGTATGGCCTATAACAGAGGTTTGCCTAAATCTCACAGTGATTCTTCTGCCTGACTCTACTCTTTGAGGGGGACTGCAACTGTCTGCCATACCTGACTTAAAAATATGCAGAATTAGTAGAAGTCAGGTGTGGTAGTGCTGATCTTTAATCCTAGCACCCTGGAGGTAGAGGCAAACTGATTTCTGTGAATTCAAGTCTAGCCTGGTCTACACAGTGAATTCCACTTCAGTCATTGCTTCAAAGATAGATGCTGACAGAGGGGCCAAAAAAATAAAATAAAATAAATACTTGTTTTTAATTTAGCTTACTTAGTTTCCCTAATCATGAAACATTGAGAGAAAAATAATTCAGTGGCTTTATATGTAAACTCTCATAAATAAGATATTTCCTATTTGGAAATTAATAAAATATTAATACCTTCCGGTATCCCTAAGGAGGATATAATCAATTAAGAAGTAATATATGCTTTATGGAGTCATCAGACTATTAAGAGCCTCGATACTAAATGATTTCTATTTAATGTATTAAGTGATTAAATACAAATCTGCTTTGTTTCCAAAAGACTTAACTGACTAAAATGCTGCATTTACAATGTTTGGCCTTTAATACAGTTTTTTTGGTGCATAGTATTATTTATTTATCTTGTTTTTTTAAGACAGAGTTTCTCTGTGTAGCTTTGGAGCCTGTCCAGGAACTAGCTCTGTAGACTAGGCTGGTCTTGAGTTCACAGAGATCCGCCTGTCTCTGCCTCCAGAGTGCTGGGATTAAAGGCATGTTGCCACCACTGCCCAATTTTTTTGTTCGTTTGTTTGTGTGTGTGTTTTGTTTTGTTGTCATACAACTTTTAAATCAAACTTTCTTTTTGCAAAAATGAAAATCAGAACCTGTTGCCCAGAGCTGGCCTGTGGTATCACTAGCTCAAAATACCCAAACTGGCAGAATTCCGTTTCCCTTTGTTGATTTCAAAGCAAAACCAGGATAGTATCTCAGAAATCAGCTCTCAGCACCCAGAAGTAAGTCAAAGTTGAGGTTTGGTCTGTTTCTAGGTGGGATGGTTGGAGGCCCTTACCTCATCCTGTAGGCTGCCTTAGAAGTCAGGGCTTCAGGTGCAAGTTCGATTTACTGAAATTTAAAACTCTGCAGGTGTGGGACAAATGGGTTGTTTTGTGCACGCAGTCATTAGAGAGAGTCTCTTGCCACTCAGGACGCACCATCCAATCAGGGCCTCAGGTATACCAACCGTTCAGAATGGGCGGAGGGCTCTTCCGTCCGCCATGCTTGGCTTGGCTCTGTGGCCGAACGTGTGTGAGCAGCGCTGTGAGCGCGTGTGCAGCGCTGTGAGCGGGCGAACGGAAGCAGCATCATGGTGAGCGGGGTCCACTGTCCCCAGGTGGGGATGAGCGGCCGGCTGCTCAGGGGGAGCAGATGTGGTGGGTCCTCTCCCTGCTTGGATGGCAATGCGCCCCATGCGGTCCTTGCAACTCCTGGTGCCAGGACTGCACCCTCCGAATCCCTTGGCTCTGCATCTGCTCAGAGCACTGGCTGCAGTGGATTGTGTGTTGATAAATTTTTGTGGTTTAGCTGACCTTGCTATTGCGCCTGTGGTGCCTTTGCTCTCTCTGTGTAATGCAAGTTTCTAAACCACGAGAGCCTAGATTCTCTACTGTCTTCTAGAAAGTTTTCACTTCGGATTTAACACTTACTGTACATTTGGAGTTAATGTTCTGGAGGTTATAATGTCTGTGTGTAATTAATTTATTTATAGTAATATATTTGCATATAGATACCAGCCACATTTGTTAGTAACTGCATACTGAGTGTTCTTGGCTCATTTGACTGTGTTTTTATTTCTACATTTGCTATTATACGCAGCTGATCTTTTTATTCTTTCCCAAATCGTACCGTCTTTATTGCAGTTGTATGAGAAGTTTTGAAGTTGGGGTCACTATATTTACTATTTATTAACTAACTAGTTGACCTTATTTTTCTGTCCATATTACCTTTTGATTTTAGTTTTCTGTTATTGATAAATTGTTAGAATTTTATAGTTCAAATTATTTTTTTCCCTGTTTTTGTTTGTTTTTTGAATGAGGGCTTCTCTGTGTAGCCCTGGCTGTCCTGGAACTCACTCTGTAGTCCAGGCTGGCCTCAAACTTAGATCTGCCTGCCTGTGCCCACTGAGTGCTGAGATTAAAAGATGTGTAGCACCATGCCCAGTTTTATAGTCCAGATTCTTAAATGAAATAATATTGAGGCTTCCTATCTACAGCCATAGAATTTCCACCTTTTTATGGTGTTTCTTAATTTTTTTAAATTATAAATTTATAGTTCTGGTCTATTGATATTGTTATATTTTTATATATTTCTGGCCATTTTATCCATGGTGACATATAAGAGGCACTCTATGTGTGTGGGTGTTTTGCTTGCATGTATGTATGTTCACACATGTTGGGTACCTCATAAGCCTCATGGCCTGCAGGAAAATGATCTGCCAGGCAAAGAATGAAACTCAAGTCAACAACTTTTGCAGGTACTCGGGTAATAACTTCTTTCATCTATGCCCAGGGTTTATTTTCCTACACACTGAAACACAGTAGGACTTGGGAAAAAGGCTTCTACATGACAATTATCCCAACAAAGCTTCAGGTTTAGCTATGTGGGAACTCTCTAGCAATGTAGCAAAGCACCTGTGACCTTTAGAGTAAGAATGGGTTCTATTGGGTGGTAAGTCAAGCTCAGGGCAAGGATCTAAGGAAGAAGGATTTGTAATAAGCATAAGTATCCTTCTATTGATGAAGAATGCAAAGTACATGGGACCTCTTTCATAAGGATGGTTTCTATTCACTGTAAGATTGAGCTCAGGATAAGCGCCTAAAAAATGTTCTGGATGTTGTGGGATTCAGGAAGGCTGGCTCTGTAGAACAGATCACCAAGAGCTAATTCCAGGACAACTAGGACTGTTAAGCAGAAAAACCTTGTCTTGAAAAAAAAAATTTTTTTTTTTTTTTTTTTTTTTTTNAGACAGGGTTTCTCTGTGGCTTTGGAGCCTGTCCTGGAACTAGCTCTGTAGACCAGGCTGGTCTCGAACTCACAGAGATCCGCCTGCCTCTGCCTCCCGAGTGCTGGGATTAAAGGCGTGCGCCACCATCGCCCGGCTAAAAAACAAATTTTTCATTGGTTTTATTGTTCTTCTCACTACTGTTGATCTGTTTGGCTGACTCTCTATATATCTGTTAGTAGGCAGTCCTTTTTCAATGGCATAGTCAGTAGCCTAGACATGAGAAGGTGAGCCTCCATTTCAGTTTCCTTCTAAAATGAATTGGTGGTTACATCACAGACTCTCTGTCATGAAATAAATGTGTGCAGCTCACTGGATTATGTAGATGCAATGTCAATGAAATAAACATTTGTAATCCTGCCAATCTCACCCATCTGTTACACACATGTATGGGACATTTTAGGACTCAGTGACCTTTCAGGATGTGCTTGTGAACTTCACTCAGGAAGAGTGGGCTTTGCTGGACAATTCCCAGAAGAGTCTATACAAAGATGTGATGCTGGAGACCTGCAGGAACCTCACTGCTATAGGTAAGAATGTGAGTTTTCATCTGCTTTCTAAATTAGGGGGCAAGTGTTTCTTGGTTACCAGTGCTCTACTGTAAATTATGCTGTGTAAAAGGAAGTACATGGTGAGGAATTCAGGAATGGTTACAAGGTTCACTGAAGTTTGAAACTTAAATTTTCCAAAATTACCAACAATATGTCATAAATTTTCTGGTATATATTTTAGGCTACCAATGGGAAGACTACAATAGTGAAGAACCTTGTCAAAGTTCTAGAAGAAATGGAAGGTAATTCTCATGTGAAAGATGGTACCAAGGTCCCTTTGAAGAAATTTTAACGTCTCCTGGTAATTTCAGGACAATCAACAGAAAAAAAACAAGCACAGCTTTAAATGTATTGATGATTATTATATTTTCACAAAGCTTTATTCTTCAGTGTAAAGTAGCTGTTTGGTGTTTCTAATACATTTCACTAAGAAACAACACTAGGATCCTGGTATTAAAATATCACTTTTTTAGCTATGAAGGATTTATCATCCTTCAATAGGCATATCATATATCTCTCTAGATACAAGCCATGTGTGCATACAGGATATGGAAATATGCAATGTACCTCTTTTTCTCTAAGAACTGTTCATAGTTATAGGAGCCCCAACTATGAATAGACCTGGTGAATGTGATACATGTTTACAGTTAATTGGTTTTCAACCTTCATTAGAAATATATCAGGAAAGTAACACTGGAAAAAAGCCCTATGAATACAAGCAGTGTGGAAAGCCTCCAGTTTGTCCTGGTTCATTTGGTACAGGCAGAGTGGCTCACACTATAGGATAATGTTATACGTGTGATCAGTGTGGTAAATCTCTGTGTTCTTCCAGTTCTCTTCAAAGGCATGAAAAAAGTCATAGTAGAAAGAAACTCCATGAATCTAATCTATGTGGTAAAGCCTTTGCATATCAGAGTCAACTTCAAAGGCATAAAAGCATTCATCCTGGCGAGAAACCCTATGAATGTAATCTATGTGGTAAAGCCTTTGTGTGTAACAGTCACCTTCAAAGGCATGGAAGAGTTCATACTGGTGAGAAACCTTATGAGTGTACTCAATGTGGTAAAGCCTTTACATGTCCCAGCAGTCTTGCAAATCATGAAAGCCGTCATACTGGAGAGAAACCGTATAAATGCAATCAGTGTGGTAAAGCTTTTGCAAGCCGTGCTGATCTCCGAGGGCATGAAAGATTTCATACTTTAGAAAAGCCCTATAGATGCAATTATTGTAGTAAAGCTTTTGCATATCCTAGTAATCTTCGATATCATGAAAGAATTCATACAGGAGAGAAACCATATGATTGCAATCATTGTAGTAAAGCTTTTGCATGTCGCAGTGATCTCCTAAGGCACAAAAGAATTCATACTGGAGAGAAACCCTATGAATGTGATCAGTGTGGTAAAGCCTTTGCAAATCACAGTCATCTTCAAAGACATAAAAACATTCATACTGGAAAGATACCCTATGAATGTAATCATTGTGGTAAAGCTTTTCCGTATCGTAGTCAACTTCAAATTCATAAAAGAAGTCATACAGGAAAAGAACCTTTCAAGTGTAATCACTGTGGTAAATCCTTTCTATCTCCCAATATTCTTCAAAGGCATACAAGAATTCATACTGGAGAGAAAAAAACCCTATCAGTGTGATCCTATGTGGTGTACACTCTGTATGTCACAATAATTTTCAAATACCACGAATTATGTCATACTGGAAAGTAACTCTGTAACTGTAATTAGTGTGCTGAAATTTTTTATGTCACAGTAGCCTTGGAGAGCATGGAAGATGCCATACTGGAGCGAAAGTGTAAATGTGAACAATGAAGTAAGGCTTTCACAAGTCACAGTCATTTTCAAAGACCTGAAGGAACTCCTTCTGGAGTGCAACCATATGAACGTAAACGGTGTGCATAGCAAACTCCATTTCAGATACTCATACAGCAGAAGAACTTAAGGATGTGTATAGTTCCGTTTCTGTTGCTGAGATTTAAAAAATGCATTTCTAAGTTAACTTACTGAAGACTTTGGGTTATGGTTCCATAATCCATCATGACAGGGAGGCATGGTAGCTGAAGCAGGAAGCTGAGAACTCACATTCTCAACCTGAAGCATGAAGCAAAGAGTGGGAACTGGAAATGATGCAAGGCATTAAACTCTCAAAACTCACCGCCAGTGACATATTTCCTCCAGCAAAGTGACATTTCCTAAATTATGCCACCAATTAGGGACACATTGCCACCGATTAGGGACACAATGTTCAAAATACCCAAAAGTTTGGAGGATGTTTCTCATTCAGATCAACATAGAGAGGTAATGCCTTTTTAAGTTACTGTCATCTCTAAATACATAAATGAAATACTGCACAGAAACTCTGTGTGTAAAAAGTCTTTAGCCAGCATGCCTGCTTTCAGTTATGTGAAGAAATCTATGATGGAGAAAACTTTGTAGGTGTGACTGTAGATGCTGCAACAACTGGCTTAGAGGAATGAACACAGCAGAAAAACAGTCAGAAGTGGAAATGTTTATTTAAAGATGTGTTGATTTTTAATTGTGTGGTGTTGGTGTGTTTGCATGTGAGTGTGCGCAAAGCAGCCAGAGGTATTGTATCTCCTATTGCAATAAATAGTAGGAAGTTGCCAGCCATCTGCCCTTGGTCCTGAGAATTAACTTAACTACTGGGCCTTCTTGCTAGCTGTGGAAGTAATATTTTAAGCAATATTTAAGTATATTTACCTTTTGTCAGAAAACAGGAAAGAACTCATACACTAGAAAAACCTTATTCATGTAAACAATTTGGTAAAGACATTAGGCATCACACTTATCTTCAGTGTTAATAAAAATGTTTGCTTCATCATTTCACCATAGTTTTGAAATAAATATAATTTTCCATGTTCACTGAAGTGCATATCACTCCAATGTTGTTTGCGGTTTGAAACTTTGGGGGGTAGCCATTGATGTGTGCAGTAGATGTGGTAAATCTCTCTACTGAAGTTTATTTGGAAGTTTTTATTTTCCTTCTATGATTTCTGTTTCTCTCCTATTGTGCTTTTACTTGGTAATTAGTATTTTTCTGCTGCAATATATAGACTTGGATGCCCATCATTCAAGTGGTTCACTTTTTATGTAAATACCAAGCAGTATGTGATCATATTATTCAAGGAATAGTATCTTTGAACTTAGGATGCAGAATTGTACCTCCAATATTTCATGTTGAATCAAATGGTCTTAATAATGTAAATGTTCAAATGATTGATAGCAGGATACCAGGATGACCTCGTGTATCTGAAGCAGCATTTCCACTTGTGGGATGCTCCATCACTCCTATGTCTCATAACACTCCTGGTGTTGTTTCTATTCTATCAGACATTTCTGTGGTGTTTGTGTGTGATCTGGTCATGGGCATGTAGGCTGCACCAATCTAGATAGGAGCCCGCAGGTGTCCTGCCAGATAAAACTTAAGCAGCCAGGACAGTGTGACACTGAAACAGCCAGCCTGCCTACAATAGAAATGTTTAAGTAAAAGGAGCCCCTCGGTGCTTCTGAGAACTGTTTCTCTGTCTGTACTCTCTGTGGGTGTACTGCAGTGTACAACATACTCTACCTACTTTTGTTTATTGTTTTCTTTTTAAAACTAATTTTTCTTAAGTGCATAAACACATCTCTGAGTGCATGAGTATGCAAGTATGTTTTATGGGAAAATCTTTTAAAAATAAATTGAAATTAAAAACAATGATTTCTACAGTGATATATCATCTATGAGACAGACAGCAGCCTGGGCTCATTAAATGAACTCTTTCTGGTCTTTTAGATTTGTGAGTGTTTTGGCATTGATCCTTCTGCCTTTTCAATCATACATTTTGATTAACAGATAGCATTGGCTCCTAAGCAATCCTCTTCCAAAGTATCCTTTACTTGATTTTTCACCTGAGACCTTATGATGCAAGTTGAACATGCTATAGGCATTTCTGTCTATCATTTTATAATTTACATATGTTCCTGCCTCACTTTGAGCTAAACATATCTCAACATGTTTGTGCATTTACCTTATGACCATGTTCAAAAGTGGACTTGAGCAGGGTTAGGAATAGGCAGAACCTCTACATGAACATGTCCAGACTCCCCAAGTAAAATCCTTTTGCTTTCTTGGTAGAAGAAAAGCATTTGGAAATGCTTCCCATGATCTCGCTGCCTCCTATTAGTAAATCTCAACTCTTTTTGTCTTGTCTGTGTTTGTTTTGTCTTCTTGGCCCCAGGAAGATGAGACCCGTTGAGTTGGCTAACAGTAGTGCTCATGGAAAGCACCCTCCCGTTTCTCTGTAGGTGTCTCTATAAACTTTCCTTTTGTGATTTCTCACCTGTCAACAGATTGGCCTGAATTTTATGGAGAAAACTCCTATAGAAATGGAGCCATAATCTAGCATTCTGGTAGGAGAAAGAATTGTTGTTTTTCTGATTTTTTTCAGTAAGGTAGAATGCATTGACTGACCCAGTGCCAACCTGCTGTTTAGTTACAGTTTACATACAGATAGACTGGGGTTAAGGTGGTTAAGCAAAATTAGTAAGTTCTGTTAGAGTCATCAGCTGAGGGAGCCTAGGAGAGATAGCTTTTAACTCTGGGGTGTGTCATTATGAGAAGTTTAGCTGTGAGTGAGACTATTTTTAATACTCATTTTTTATTTGTGACAGTGGTCACATCCATGTCTCCATGCAAGTTTGGAGGTCAGTAGACAACTGTGTACAGTTAGTTCTCTTCTTACTCTTTTCCTTGGGTTCCAGTGATGCAATTTTGGTCACACTGTGGGGCAGATAGATGTTCTACCTGCAGAGACATCTTTCCAGCACCAGTTTGTTTTTTGGTTTGGGGACATGTTTTTTTTTTTTTTTCTTTTTTGAGTTTTTGGTGGCTTGGAGGTATTTTCTTTTTCATTTTCATATTTGATGTCATTTCACTTTGTTTGCATAGTCTACTGTTTGAGATTTCAGTTTCTCTTTTTCTTCATCAGCTGGGTTAATATCAAATGTGCAAGGGCAGTTATAATCCCAGTTATGACTTTTCAAATTGAAGTAGTTTTTATTTAAAATAAAATTAACCTTAAGCCGGGCAGTGGTGGCGCACGCCTTTAATCCCAGCACTCGGGAAGCAGAGGCAGGTGGATCTCTGTGAGTTCGAGGCCAGCCTGGTCTACAAGAGCTAGTTCCAGGACAGGAACCAACAGCTATGGAGAAACTCTGTCTCGAAAATAAAAAAAAAAAAAAAAAAAAAAAAAAAAAAAACTAACTAACTATATGTAAATATGTATATATTATGTGTATACATAAACACACATACACATGCAGAGTAAAACTAAACAACCATATGCAAACTTGAAGAGGCAGTCAAAGGAAAGAACTAAAATAGTGTCCACCAGAGTGGAGATGGGAGGAAATGTTTCAACAAAGATGATACTTTTTATGGACTCATGAAGACATGTTGCCAGCATATTCAGACCAACATATGAATGTGCAGAATTTCTCCTCAATCAAAATGTGACAAGGAGAGAAGGAAAAGCTCCAAAATGAAAATTACAGCCCAGACTAGAGTGGTGGCCCATGCGTATAATCCATGCAAACAGGAGGCTGATGCGAGAAGACAAATTTGATGCCTGCCCTGGCTACATACTGATAACTACAATAAAGGAAAATTCACACACATGCGCACACAGCACATGAACTGCAACCCTCTGTTTTGTATAGAAACATTTTAAAACAGATTGAATTTGATTACAAATAAGATTCTATCACTTAAAAATAGTATTTGAAATTGAAATAAACAAGTTTTTAAAATCTGAATAAAGATTTATATATTTTATTATGTATATGATATACATATATAATAAAGTAGGAATATTTTTCCACTTCTGGGAATTGGAACGACAATATGAAGTAAAATTTAAATTCTGTGGAATTAAAATGCAATGAAAATCAGTCAGTACAAAAATAGGCCAGAACTGATGGCCAATGACTTTAACTCCAGCACTAAGGCAGGTTAGTTAGTGAATTAGTTAGAGGCAGGTGGATCTTTGTGAGTTTGAGTTCAGCTAGGTTTATATTGTAAGACCCTATCTACAAAAAGAAAAAAATAATTTTAAAAACTATCTGTATTTTTGCAACTTGTTGTTGTGACAAGGTTTATCTATTATATATATATATGTATATAATGTGTGTATATATAAAAGGTTTCAGCCTTATATAGGTGCTAGAGTCCAACCTAGGTCCTCTGAAAAAGAAGTATGTGATTATTGACCCAGGATTGGGCCCATTAGCACTTCAGCATGGAGAGAGAAGGAATTAGCAAGGCTCCACCCCTTCTTGAGGGTTTGTAAGCGGTTAATGGCTGATGGGGGAAGGAGAGACATTTTCTTCAGTAGTATTGCCATTAGTCAGTTGCTCATGTTCCTGTAAGTAACCCCTCACCCAAACTCCTATAAGCAATCCTAATAAACTCACTGGGTCACAAACAAAAAAGACATGTAGAAGAGGCAGAACAGCAACAACAAAAACAACATGGAGACCCAGGACATGCATTGACCTGGTTCTCTCAAAGATTTATGTGGCAACAGAGTCACAAGGTTCCTCTGAGCTAAGGGATGATCATTCTTGCAGGGCCCAACAGTCAAGGCCATGGGGCATCAAGTCACAGAACTTAGACAACCACTTACACACACAAATTCCCAGCATGGCATTCCTTTGGGCAAATTCAGTGAGCACCCAGGGGTGGAAGCGGCACAGGATCCATTTTCAGAATAAAAGCATAAGTTAAGCAATTCCTTTACACTAAAAGGACCACTCAGGAAAGTGCCTAGTATGACACAGGAAAAGTACACTCTCCAAAATGAGATTCGTTGAATTCCATCTAGTGGGGCAACTGGCAGGAAGCTGGACCACTAGGCCCTAATGTGACTTCTTTGGTACCCTTAGGAGAAAGTGGATCACTGGGTGGGGGGATATTCCTTAGATGGGCATAGCTATCTTGTCTCCTGAGCCTTCTCTTGGTCTCTGCCTCCTGCCTGCTATGAGAAGACTTTGCTCCACCACATGCTCGCTGCTCATCAATTACAAGGACCGGAACCATAAGTCAAAATAAATCCCACCTCCCTTGTGCCGCATTCCCAGGTGTCCTGTCACGACATGGAAACTGACCGAGATGAAAGTTGGTGTCAAGAAGCAGGATCATTGCTATGACTAAACCTGACGGTGCAGTTCAGGAGTCTTTCAGAGCTGTGGGCTCGAGAAACCTAGAATGCAATGAGCAGAATTTAGAATTTAAGGGCGATTCTGGTGTAAGATGAGCGGATCCAAACGTGGGTAAGGAATACAGATAGTAAAGACTGTGCTTGGGAAGTTTCATATGGAAACAAGAATGCCGTCTGGAACTGGACCAGAGGCCAACTAGAGACGAAGAATCTGACTGCAGTTTGCCCACGCTCTCAGACTGTAAGTCTGAGTTCAAGATGGTGGACTAATTAATTTAGCAGAGGAAATGTCAAGGCATCTCAGCATTCAGGCTGTGTTGTGGTTATTGTTAGCTCCTTTTAGTCAGCTTTGCATTGATAACTGGGAACAAAAAGCGGACTTTTAAAGCTTCCAGTTTGAACAGAAAAGGGCTCACTTAAAGTTATTCCCAGGGGAAGTTGCTAAGAACAGGACCGTTACAAAGGAAGATAAGTACTTTATAGTAGGACAGTGGGAAAGAAGCCTTTCCCGGGAATTTACCAGATCTCTCCCACCACAGGCTTCAGGGTGGAAAGGGAAAGCTCATCTGAAAGACATTTTCTTGCTTGAACAGAACCATCTATTCATCCCAATAGTAAACCAGGCATCAGAGGCCACAGGAGCCCAGTAAGCCCTGGTTACTGCTCATGCTCATAGCAGACTTCAGCCGTGTTCATATCATGCTGGCTTTGCAGGCATGCAGAATGTAAAAAAAAAAAAATGCCTATAAAGGCTTCCACTTATACATCAAAGCAAGGTCCGGGACTCCAGGAAGTATGTGGCAGAGTCTTACAGGCAACCCATAGTAGGGTTGAAACTGCATGAAACTGTGAGCAATAGAAAGCCCGGGATTTGGTGGTGCCAGGAATGTAGAACGCCTGCTGGAGAAAAGCCACTGGCGATGGGCAAAGCCAGATGAAGATAGAGGCCATGTGGGCTCCAACCCAATATGCTTCTCCATGTTCTAGGTGTTGGGCATGGAGCTGCATTTCTGCCTTGTTCTGGTCTCATTCCTCTTTTCTACCCCCTCCCATATTCCTGTTTTGGAATGAGAATTATTATAATTGGTTTTAATGTCAACTTACCATAATTTATGATCACCTGAATAGAGAACCTCACTTGAAAAATTGTCCCAGTTGCCTTTGTTGATGTGGGGGAGTACCTTCTGGTAAGAGCCCTGATTTTTCTTTCTTTCTTTTTTTTTTTTTTTAGAAAAAAAAAGTATCTCAGAAGGAAGCTTATTCTGCTTGAATAAAATTTTAAAAAAGAAAGAAAGGATGGGGGCTGGATAGATGGCTCAGAGGTCATGAGTTCAGTTTCCAGTAGCCACAACCATCTATAATGAGATCTGGTGCCCTCTTCTGGTGTATAGACAGAACGCTATCTAGGAGCTCTCAGCTATGCTAGGGTTGAAGAGTCACAAGCAGTCTCCTATGTGACAGATCCTAGGATCATAATAGGAGGGCCCCTCCTGCTACAGGACATTCATTAGACGAGGCCTTGTGTCCTGAATCACTAGGATGGGGATTTGGGGAGGGGCTATGCTAGACAAGTGCAGAGACGGTACCTCTCTGGAGTACCAGGCTATGAGAAAAAGAAGGCAGGACGTTCTCATGCTTAGGAACTTTGAAAATCACTGTCTCCTGTCAACTTTGGGTGCCAGTCACTTTCTTTCCTTTTCTCTAAGCTGATGATGTCCACCATTTCTGCAGAATCAAAAGATAAAAACTGCTCAGCTCTTTCTAGTCTCTTGAATGTATTATAGTTGAGGGGCTTGTTTCTCAGTCTTTGAGCCTCTAGATGACCATGAGGAGACATTTTCCTTCCCCATGTATTCCCTGTCATCATGCTCTGACCCATCACACGAGGCCTAGAGGCAGAGGAGCCAGAAAAAACAACTCAAACATTTTATCACTCAGAGAAAAATAGTTCCAGTGCAATTTTATCTTCAAATACAGGAAACTCTAGAGCAGAGGTTCTTCTCAACCTGTGCGTCATGACCCTTTTGGGGGTCATACACCAGATATCCTGTGTATCAGATATTTATGATTCCTAACAGTAGCAAAATTACAGTTATGAAGTACACCAAAATAATTTTATGGTTGGGGGTCAGCACAACATGAGGAACTGTAATACAGAGTCGCAGCATTAGGAAGGTGAGAACCACTGGTCTAGAGTGAAGGATTCAAGCAGACTGTGTAAGGTCTACAACTTCACTGTGCAAACGGTCACTTTACTGTTGCTGAACATTTCTGATTAAGTTCAGACATGATGGCTTGGTACAGAGATGAGCAAATAGGAATGAGACAGCCCCTGGTAGGAAGACAAAGAGGTAAAAGAGGCTCTAAGTAGATCACTCTACTTTTTTGTTTGTTTGTTTTTGTTTTTCCAAGACTGGGTTTCTCTGTAGCTTTTGGAGCCTGTCCGGGACCCGGGACTAGCCCTTGGAGACCAGGCTGGCCTTGAACTCACAAAGATCCTCCTGCCTCTGCCTCGGGAGTGCTGGGATTAAAGGCATGCGCCACCACCTGCTGGCAGATCACTCTACTTTTCACTTAAATTTCTAAGATGGCTGACTTCCTGTTTCTTCTCCCTCTTTAAAGACAAAGGCGTGTCCCCTGACTCCCACAGAGGAGTTGGGTGAGACTTTCAAATCTCCCACTGGAGAGCTCCTGTGGTGGGAACCAATCTGCTTCCCTGTATTTGGATCATACAATCCCCTGCCAGAGCCCAAATCAGCCAAGGGAGAAAGGGAACTCACCCCATTCCCAAATACAAAATCCCCTATCATCTGAGCAGACTCTGGCGCCATCTTTTGGCTCCCTCCCTACTATGGAGAGCCTTGTCTTTTTGTGTTTGTCTATGTGCTTCTGCTTTCAACAAACTTGGTTGAGTGCTGAGACCTTGCTTACCCTGCCTTTTTATTCTTTAAATCAACAGTATAAGAATTCATTCCCACAACCCTAGACACATCATCCTGACAGCATCAGAGAAGTCTGTTTTGGATTAGCTTTAAATTCATGAATTGGCCTCTAAGATGGCAGTGGAGCAGCAAATATTTCAACACTGAACACAAATGTGACCACAGCAGAATCAGACAGGATGGCTACAGAGAAGAGTGTGGAATATCACCTGTGCAAATATGGACTGGAGGACTGGGAACTTCTGTGCCTCAGGGTCTCTGATTTCTCCATCATCTCAGGCCAGATAGGACTAATTCTAAGACTAAAGACTATCTAGTGGTGGGGGTGGGGAGAAGACTAAAGGGGAGAAGATACCATCCAGGAAGGAACCCAGAGCCTTCTCTAGAATCGAAAATGGTCCTAGCTTTTGATCAGCTTGTGTGAGGGGAAAAACAAAACAAAACAAAAAAACATTCAGTAGCTGCAGAGTTGAGATGTGAGCAATTTATTCAAAGCAATGTCTCAAAGCTGGGCGGTGGTGGCACACGCCTTTAATCCCAGCACTCTGAGGCAGTGGCAGGCAGATCTCTGGGAGTTCAAGGCCAGCCTGGTCTACAAGAGCTAGTTCCCGGACTGGCACCAAAGCTACAGAGAAACCCTGTCTCGAAAAACCAAAAAAAAAAAAAAAAAAAAAAAAAAAAANAAAAAAAAAAAAAAAAAAAAAAAAAAAAAAAAAAAAGCAATGTCTCAGTATTCAAAAGAATCTGGATGAGCAGAATCTGCGTGCATACACACACACACACACACACACACACACACACACACACACGGACTAATGTATGTTTTCAGCTCTCAATCTCCTGCTAAAATGGGAAGCCCTTCTAAGATGCCTCTTCCCTCCCAGCTGTGACAAACTGTGACTGAAGTTCTCACGCATCATCCAGCAGGTTCTCCCTTCACTGAACGGCACCACCAGAAGTCCTTTCTTTTCTAATGCTGCACTTAATGTCTAAAACATTCCTGAAGAATTGAGTTCTGAAAGGCGGTGGTGACACACATCTTTTATCCTAGTACTCGGGAGGCAGAGGCAGGCGGATGGATCTCAGTGAATTTGAGGCCAGCCTGGTCTACAGAGTGAGTTCCAAGGTAGCCAGGACTATATAGAGAAAAGACCATATCTCAAAGAACAAAAACAAAACATAACTAAGCTCTATAAAACACAAAAGATGATTTAATGTAGAAGTCCTTTCCTAATGAATGAAGCCAAACTTCATTCATTTTTAATTTTCAAAGTAGGCGAGAGGGCTGGAGAGATGGCTCGTGGGTTAAGAGCATTTCATCTTGTAGAGGACCCAGATTCAGTTCCTAGCACCTATGTGCTTGCAAACTTTCAATCCAACAACAGAAAGTGAAATGCAGAGAATGGAATCTAATATGCCACATTTTGTACAGATAAAGGGGTTCAGTGACCTCAGGTTTATTGTCTGGCCACCAACCGTCAACTTTAAAATAGAGGAAGAACTAGAGCAGAGGTAAGAGGTATAATGACTAAACAATCCTAGTCAAGGTGTGGTCTTGTTGAGCATTAGTTTTCTGTGGAGTGGTTCAAAAGAACTCCTTATTGCCTGAGGGGACAAGCAGATTCGCAGGTCATCACTACTTGTGCTTTAGGGTGCAGCCTACCTCACAAATAATTACCCTCACTTGGGGGCCCTGGAAGGTCAACGTTGTTCAGTTTCAGTTCCTTGCTAGATGTTAACCCATCAGTACCATTGCTCCAGGAATCCAACTTGACAAGTGTAGCACAGCCACTGGACACTCTAGGTGCCTTTTGGACCCGATTCAAGGAATCAACATTTTTTAACAAAATCAGTTGCCGAGCGTTCCTTATGGTATCACCTGCGGGAAAGCCCAGCTGCTCGCAGGCCCCGTCCTACTCTATTGTAAACATCCACTTTTATCTTTCATTAGGAAGCCTGTGTAAGGACTCCAGCTCTGCTAATCCGTGAAAATGGAGACGAAGGAAAGTAGTTCCCGGATGGCAAAAACCGCACCTCTGTGTGACCACCAATAGATGATGGCCACCAAGCACTGAGACAGGGCCAGTGGCCACTACCAGAAGTGACCGGTGCGTGGGCGGGGGCGTGGGCGTTTACAAGACAGCTATCTAACACGCGCTACCCAGCCCCAACCGCCAAAATGCACACGGCGTAGGTGTCTAGGCTACTTAAACCCGCATCAGCGGCCTAGGCCGGCTGACAATTCTATGAGGAAGCCGCTCTCTAGAGCCGTCGACGATTGGTCGAGCCCGTGGACGGTGACTGGCCCGGGACTTCTTCCTCTCGAGCGGTCCGGTGACGTGATTGGTGCAGGCGCTCAGCCGCTCCGCCTGCCCCCGCGCGTCGCACGTCACTACCCGGCGTGCCGCGTACCCGCCTCCTCCGCTCGGCCGGCCCAAGATGGCGGTGCAGGAGTCGGCGGCCCAGCTGTCCATGACCCTGAAGGTGCAGGAGTACCCGACCCTCAAGGTGCGTTCTGGGCGCGACCAGAGCCGCTACCACACCTTCGAAGGCGCCGTGGGGGCGCCGAGGCTGGGGCGCGGCGGGAGCCGCTTCTCCAGGGGCTGCACGGCCGGGGGCGGGGTCGGGGTCGGTGGGCTGTGGCTCTCCGGGGCGTCAGGCAGGGGCCGGGGCCTTTCGGCGGGGCCCCCGGGAGCTCTCTGCGTCTTGGGGACCCGATGGCGCGGGGCGGCGGGGTCTGAGGACCCCCGAGGTCCGGGCGACGGCGCCTGAGCCCCGCCTCCCGCCTAGAGGCTGCGGGCATTCCGTGTGCGGGCAGCAGGGCTACGGCCCAGGCTGCGGGCACTGGAGAATTGGGGGCCCCTGGTCGTGGGCGTGGGTCGCGGCGGTACCCGGCGTTCTTCCGGAAGCTCGGCCTGGGGCGTGGCGGGCATGCCTTGGTGCTAATTAGGGGGCCATTGGGGAGCATTGGCGACCCGGTGGCACCCTGCCTCCCTGGCCGTCCCCAGCGCAGCTCCTGCCCTTGGTTTCCGGGGCGTGACCTTGGGTGGTCGCTGCGCCAGTGCGTTCCTCTAGGACAAATGTTCACCCCTTGATGGACGACTGCTAGTGGCTCTTCGGTTAAAAGGGGGTTTGATGGTGGCGGATGGTCTGCGGTGACGCACCGGGGAAGAAAGCCTTCGGAGAACAAATCGGGTAGTTTTTAGGAAGGCGGCCGAGCCTTGGGGTTCTACATTCCTCCTGAGGGCCGGGCAGCTTTCTTCTGGAGCGCTTGGCACCGTGTCTATCTCTGTGGTGACCGAGCGGTTGCCGTGTGGCTTGGCGGTGGGTGGGTAGTTTAGCCGAGATTGAAGAGCACAGGTTCTAAGCTCGGCTGCCTGCTTGTGCTTAGGGAGCCCCGGAGTGCGTATGGGAGGCACCTGATTGCTGGCATTCTCTCATCAGATGTAAGCCCTAGGGAGCGTTTGTTTCCCACTAGGGTGAAGTGAGCGATCACGTATTGCACACGGACGTCTTGGCATTCACTGGAAGTTATCTGCTGTCATTGTCCCTGTGACATCTGACTGCTCTGGTGTAGTTGGTCTTCACAGGAGGGCAGAAGCAAGGCCCTGCTGCTCCTCTTCAGCAGTAGGTGAGCAGCCATATTTAATTGCTGTTTTGTATCCCATGCTTTATTCACCCAAGGAAAGGAGCAAACAATGCTGGCATCGCCAGCCTCTTTGCCACACCTTCAAAACGAAGGGTTATGGGGGGGGGGCGGACTCGTGACAAACTTAGTTCTTGTGCTGCTAGGCAAATGATCATTCTGCTACTGCGCTATACCCTTAGGCCTTATTTTTTTTTTGTTTGTTTGTTTAAAGCAGGCTTCTGTTGGCCTTGAACTCTCTTTGTACTTCCTCCTGTGTGCTGGGAATCTAACAGTCCTTAGCCGCAGTTTTCTGGCATTGTTGGATTTCTGTTGATTGACAGATGGAAACCCTGCAGCTCCTAGTGGGCTGTACCTGGGAACTGCTATCAGTGGACCTGTAACCACTTTGCGGCCTAGTCGGGGGCCTCCAGGCCTATTGCAAGGAAGTTGCTTTGGGAGAACCTGGTTTTCTGCTTTGGCTGGTGAATTTAGGACGCACAGACAGGAAGGGTTTCCAGAGCTCCCTCTCTGGCCTACTAAATGCCTTAGGCAAGGAAATGGATGGCCAGGAAAGGATTCCTCCAGTTCTACATCTTCTGGTGATCATGAGTGCACTTTGCATTCCAAAGCAGTTGCACAGCTTCTGAGCAAAATGATTACGTGGATCCTCATGTAGGTACAGAGAGGTGGTGGTGTCGTTAAACAAGATTGCTGTCTCTTTCTTTTTTGGAAGAGTGACTATAAGCAAAGATTTGTGGGTAGAAATGCTACTTCCTCCAGAAAAAAAATAGCACTTCCCTCCAAGTCCTTTAGGTCCTACCATATAATTTCTGTTATGTTGACAGTATGTCTTTGCTTTGTTAATGTTTTTCCTATAAGTTACTATTGCTTGTTTGTTCTTTGTTTTTTGAGATGGGCTCTCACACCGTCTTGGCTGGCCTGCAATTCACTGGGTAGCTAAGGATGACCTTGAATTTCTGCTGCTCCTGGCTCCAGAGTGCTGGGATTTCAGGCATGTGTACCACACCCACTTTATGCAGTGATGGATATCAGATCCAGGACTTTCTGCACCGTTGGCAAGTACTGTGCCAACTGAGCTACATTTTTCGCTTTTTTTTTTTTTTGTCATTTTTTCAAGAGTAATTAATGCTGGGTACTGGGAAGTTTTAGAGCTTTGATTTAGAAGTATGTATTGGCACAGAATCGATCAGGATGCCAGGAGAAATGTATTTGTGGACAGTCTTAGGAATGTCCAGATGCAGGTGTGACATGGTGGGTTGGGATCCACAGGAAGTGAGGATTGGGGGCTAGAGGGCTCCTGAACAGTCCTGGGAACGGAGTATACTAGATAGACCTTTACACTTTTTTATTCACTGAAAAATTCGTAATTTATGTATTTTTATCATTGACAGATTTTTTTTTTTTTTTGCCTGCCAAGCAAGGCCTCCTCAGATGTGCAGGCTTGACAACTGTAGGTGGGCTTAAGCAGTAGACTAAGATGTCTATTGTGCAGTCTCAGGCCCCTGGCAGGAACTCTTTCTGTTTTTCCTTTCTCTTCGTTTTCCTTTGAGGTGCTATTGCTGATATGCATATATTTCCTCCATAGTGGTGAACTGATACAGGCTTCTTTATAGCCCTTGGAACCTTTGGGCTTAATTTCCCAGTTTCTGGGGTCAGGAATTTCAGGATGTTTCCTAGTATCTCTAACCTCTGCCCTCCAGGTGTAGGAGTGTCCTCAGAATACCTCCAGACTTCACCAGGTTGCCCTGGGTACAAAGTCACCAGCATGAGGATCTCTGGACTGAATGTTGCTTAGGGGACTTGTTTCTGTGTTCTTCAAAAGCTCTGGAAATGTGGTTCATAAGACATCCTCTTGTATTCTGACTGCAGAATTTTCTGCTGAAGTCTGTTCTGATGCCAGTTTGTAAATGACAGCCCTTTGAAGCAAGGGGAAACTGGGATTTGTGGCTCAACGTCTTAAGCTTAGATCCCTTGTTTGATTTAAGTTTTAAGCAATCTTTAGTTACAGAAGATTTTTCTTCCTTCAAATTACTCTACTGAAGACACCACTCCATCAGTATTCCTACTTCCCTCCAGATAGCTGTGGCCTAGTGCCATGCCAACCTTCTCTGCTCATCACCTAAGTCAGGAAGCGGCTGTTCAGTCCAGTGGCAGGAGCTGAAGACACTGGGACAGCCAGCTCTGACCCCAGCTCCTTCCTGAATCTCACCTGCTGTACCTTTCCGCTTTTGGACACCTAGTCAGGTGTCTAGCTCCTGCAGTTAGTTCTCTTAGACACACAGACACAGCTGCTGATCTGTTCTGTGCTTTACAGAAGCCTAGGTGTGTTTTTGAGCATAAACTCATGTGTTCTTGGAAGTTTTACAGGAATAGTTAAAATTTCAGTCTTGAATTTGATAAAACACTGGTGGACCAATTACTGCTTTGGTAATTCATATCTTGAAATATCACACAGAAAGTGTAATACAAGCCCTGTATTATAACTTATAGAGCACTTTTGCAAACTTGATTTTGGCTGGATTGGAAGGATCATCAAGTATTAAAGCTGCAGATAATCATAAAAGTTTGACTTGAAGCGGGTGATGGAGGCGCACGCCTTTAATCCCAGCACTTGGGAGGCAGAGGCAGGCGGATCTCTGTGAGTTCGAGACCAGCCTGGTCTACAGAGCTAGTTCCAGGGCAGGCTCCAAAGCCACAGAGAAACCCTGTCTCGAAAAATCAAAAAAAAAAAAAAAAGTTTGACTTGAGACAGGCACACACTGCATTAGGTAGTAGGTATAGCAGTATCCTACAACAGTCTAGATCTTTTAATATGCAGATTTGAAGCTGCTTTTCTCAGTGGGCAGGCTATATGATACTAAGAGTACTTGGTGCATTCTTTTTGCACTCTTAAGTACTTGGTAAATTGTAATCTCCTTACTCCTTTATGCACCAAACCCTGCCAGATCTTCAGCGTGCTCTCTATTCTAGTCTGAAGCGTCGTCCTTTTAGAACCTGCCATCCATTGGTGGGCCCACCTGAATTCCTTTTGTTCTTTAAGAACTCTGCCTGATGCTCAAGTCTTCCCACCTCTCACTCACCTTGTCTTTGATTTGTTGGACATTTGAGTGAATGAATCTGTTTCAGATGTGTGTCCCATTGGTGTATCTCTGTGTTTGTGAAAGGTGGGTGCCCACTGAGATTAGAAAGGCTTGAATTCCATGATAACTTCTGGGTTTTTATTGCTGTTGTTGTTGTTATCTTAAACAGATTTTTTAAATTAGGAAAACAAAACATTTTGTAATACCTAGTTCTCTGTGGTGGGTGGATCATGTTAGAGGCATTGCTAAGTTGAAGCACAGATAATATGGCTCAGTAGGTAAAGGCACCTGCTGCCTGCCAAACCCAATGACCTGATTTTGATCCCTGGAACCCATGTAGTTGAAGAAGAAACCAGTTTCCCAAAAGTTGTACCGTGTTCTCCTCATATACTGTATTAACACTCATGCTTCCACACACATGTACAGACATAAAAAATAAACTTCTGTTTTTGTTTGTTTTGAGATAGGGTTTCTCCAAGCAGCCCTGGCTATCCTGGGATACTCTGTAGACCAGATTAGCCTTGAATTTAGAGATTTGCCTGCCTCTGCCTCCCAAGTGCTGGGATTAAAGGCTTGTGCCACCACCCTCTGGCATTAACTTTTTTTTCCTTTCTATTTTTAAAGATACCAGTGAAACCAATGTGAAGTTGAGTAGTGGAAGGGGACTGGGCTCCTGTGACTGACAGCCTGAGCCAGTGATCATGGAAATAATAGCTGGTGCTGCGAAGCCTTGTGAACTGTGTAAAGTCTTGGCTGACATTGCCCCAGAGGCCTGCAGTCCAAGAAGAAAGGAGACTGACTGACCTGTATAGTCAGTGTATGTATCCATCTGTGGAAGTCCCATGACTATCAGTCTCATGGGACTGTGTCAGAGTTCAGACTCTGCTGATGGTATGTGGTTAGACATCGGAACCATTTGAAAACTTCAAGAGAGTTATTCACTGTTGTCACAACTAGTAATTATTTGGCAGAATGTGTCTAAATGGAGAAAACTGATTTTTTTTTTTTTTGTTTGTTTGTTTTTTAAAGGTCTGGGCCTGGCTTTACTTTCCTGGCTGTGAACCTCTGGTGCTGCCCATTACCTACCTCTATCCTAGGTTATCCTTCCTCACGTCCTATCATCCATTCTTCCATCCATTCATCCATCTTGAGCCAAGGTCTCTGTAGGCCCAGCTGTCATGTACCTTGCCATGTAGACCAGGCTGGCCTCCAACTCATACCCTGTCCCCCAGCCTCTTCCTCCTTTTAGATACTCTTTCCTACCCATCTGTCTTCTCAGACCTTTCCCAGCTCAATTGCCCATGCCTATCTTGACAGTTGTGGGTCCACGTGCCCCACTTTAGATCTTCACAGTGTCTACTGGTGTTCTTTCCTGCTCCCTCCCTACTGGGTTGGGAGTTTTTAGACAAGAACTATTGCTGCTCGCTCTACCTTCTTCTCTTCTTCCTACCTTCATACTGTTCAACCACATGTTTCTTCAGGTTTTCTTCTTTCTTTCTGGGAAGTCTATGGTTCTTTTACTGTTTCTTCAATCTTCTTTTTACTAGCTTTTTGGTGTCACCAATTAACCCTGAGAGGTGGCCTTAGTGCATGCATCCTCACTGCCCAGCTGAGTTTTGGGTATTTGGGATAGTCTCACTGTATAGCTCTGGCTGCTCTGGAACTCGCTCTGTAGACCAAGCTGGCCTGAAACTCAAGAGATCTCCTACCTCTGCCTTCCCCAGTACTGGGATTAAAGGTGTGCGCCCCCATAATAACCATCTTAATTACTCATTTTTAAAGATTTATTTTTAATTATGTTAGGTGTTTGTGTGTCTGCATATTGGTATGCACATATGAGTGCACATTCTCTGAGAAGGCTAAAAGTATCAGATTCCCATATCTAGAGCTACATTTTCCAGCCTTGTCATGGGTGCTGGGAACGAAGCCTCAGATCCTCTGGAGCAGCAAGTGCTCTTAATCTCTGAGCCATTTCTGAAGCCCCCACCCTCAGTTTTGATTTCTTTATAGTATTAATCACAGTTCTACAGAATTATCTACACTTATGTCTTTTTTCTTTTCCTTCTCTTTCTGTCAGACATCTCCTTGTTTGTTTGTTGTTTTAAAGTTTTTTTTTAAATATTTATTTATTATGTATACATTGTTCTGTCTGTGTGTATGCCGAAGGCCAGAAGAGGCACCAGACCTCATTACAGATGGTTGTGAGCCACCATGTTGTTGCTGGGAATTGAACTCAGGACCTTTGGAAGAGTAGGCAATGCTCTTAACCACTGAGCCATCTGTCTAGCCCCACACTCAGCTTTTAACCCATATATTTAGAGTAATTTATTTTAGCAAGTATGTCAAGACAGATCAAGAATAGTGTTTTCAACAAGTGCTGAAAATAACTGGGTTTTCACAAACAAAATGTAGTTGGGTCCCTATATTACAAAATATCCAAGAGCTAAAAATAAGTCGAAAGAACTAAATTCATAAAGAACTAAATTCATAAAGACCTAAAATTATAAAGCTTCTAGCACAATATACCAGATAACTCTAACCTTGAGTTAGTCTGTGGTTTCTCAACACCTGAGTACAAGGACCCACAGATAAAAGACTACTTTGTGGGAAGCTGCAAAAATGAAAAGACTGTCATTCAGAGTAAGTGTGCCCATGTCCAACCCCTAAAAAATGTATGCTGAAGCCCCAGTCCTTGCGGTGTAATCTTTGAGAACGGTTCAATTTGGAACAGATAAAACGTGCTATATAGTCAAGGATGAGGAACTTTTTTTTTTAGTTTAGCATTTTTGCATTAAACATACCTCATCCAAGTTTTATTTGTTTATTTATTTTGTTTGTTTGTTTTTCAAGACAGGGTTTCTCTGTATAACAGCCCTAGCTGTCCTGGAACTAGCTCTTGTAGACCAGGCTGGCATCAAACTCACAGGGATTCACCTGACTTCCTCCCGAGTGCTGGGATTAAAGGCGTGCGCCACCACCACCTGGCCCCGAGTTTTATTTTTAACCCCTTGTCACATTGCAATTTTTAAATATTTTAAAAGTTGTGTGTATGAATATTTTGCCTGCATTTATGTAAGTGTACCCTGTGTGCCTGGTGCCTATGGAGTCCAGAAGAGAGTGAAGGATCAACTACAACTGGATACAGACAGTTGTGAACCACCTCGTGGGTGCTGGAAACCAATCCCATATCTTCTGCAAGAGCAGCAAGTACTTGTAACTGTTGAGCCATTTCCAGTCCTCCATTTGCAATTTTTAAAATTATTCTTTGATGTATTCATGTGTGTATATATATATATATTCATTTTTCCTTCACTATCCTCTGATTCTCCTCTACTACTAAATCTACTTTTTTTCAACAAGTCCCTTACTTAATCTCATTTTATATTTTGTGAACCAGTGAGTGTGTGTAGAGTTACTTGCAGGAGGATGGATGGGGGTTATCTATTGGAGCATGGGCAACAGTGCTATAACACCCATTCCTCCAGCAACCTCTAGTTGCCAGTAGCTCCTCAAGGAGTGGTGTGGCCTTGTGAGCCCCTTTGCAATCCATGATGGAATGCTGATGGGCCCCATCGTGACCACAGCTGCTGTGAGCTCCTAAGTACAACCACCATATCATGTCCAAAAAACTGTTTCACAGCCCTCTCCCCATCCTGTGGCAGTTACATTCTTTCTACTCCCTCTTGAGTATGCCTCAAGCTTTGGAGGGAGTGGCACAGATGTCCCATTTGGGATCCAGCACAGGACGTGTACTTTCAAAACTTTGATCAGTTATGAGTCTTTGTGTTAAACTGTTGCTCACTACACAGAGAAGCTTCTCTGACCAGTACTGAGAGCATCACTCGTCTATAGTTAATAAATACTTAGAAGGCAGTTTGACAGCTTGACCACAAAACAGCCTTAATAGGTTCCCTAGTAGGAAACCAGCCATAGGCTTTTGACCAGGTTTACAGTACCAAATGTGAATTCCTCCTGTGTAGTGGATCTAAAATCCAATCAGAAAATGGTTAGTTACTAACCCTCATAACGTTCATACTGCTATTGCAAAAGTGGTCAACTCTTTCCTGGCAGGCTTCATAGCTGAGTGAGTCTGTTGATGACTATTTTCCCTCTCCTAGCAGCCTGTGTAGCACCTTCCAACACTGTGAAAGCTATCCAGAAAGAAGGAAGTTTCCAAGTCCTGCCACCAAAGTGTGTGGTGTTTTCAGCAATGGGGTCATAACCATCCAATTCTGATTGGCAGCCTTGAACAATGGCAGTAAAGTAGCCTGTATTGTTTTAGGGACCTCTCACACTTCAGTGGCCAACAACTTAGGGGAGGCACTCCACACCTGGTACTAGGATTTTTATTTAATTTATGGCTTTCGGAGCAGTATAATTTACCCATGCAGGGTGACTACATTCAAACCTTTTTTTTTTTTTTCCTCTTTTTAAGACAGGGCTTCTCTGTGTAACAGCCCTGGCTGTCCTGGACTAGCTCTTGTAGACCAGGCTGGCCTTAAACTCAGAGATCCACCTGCCTCTGCCTCCTGAGTGCTGGGATTAAAGGTGTGTGCACCACTGCCTGGTTCAAACTTCTTTTAATTAGTTTTCAGTTAGCTTACAAAATAGGTTTGCATATGTCTTTTTAATACTCAGTTTGATTACCCTTCCCCCACCCCTTCTCTTCCCCATCCCTCCTTACACCTTTTTGTCTGTATCTTCCCTGTTTACTGTCATATCACATGTGTTCTCCTATCAACTGACCGTCTTCTTCCATTCTCCTGCTCTCCCTTCTAAGTGCTGGGATTACAGGCATGTGCCACTCACTATACCTGGTTTGATGTGACGGAGCATAGGACTTCGTGCATGCTAGTCAAGCACTACTGTGAGTGACACTAATCCCAGCCTGGATTATTGTGGTTTTTTTTGTTTGCATTCATTTATTTTTTAAAATATTTATTATTTATTATGTATACAGTATTCTATCTGTGTGTATGCCGAAGGCCAGAAGAGGGCACCAGACCTTATTACAGATGGTTGTGGGCCACCATGTGGTTGCTGGGAATTGAACTCAGGACCTTTGGAAGAGCAGGCAACGCTCCCAACCACTGAGCCATCTCTCCAGCCCCCATTCATTTATTTTGTATGTACATGTGTGGGCATGCATGAGTAGAGAGAACAGCTTCCAGGAGCCAGTTCTCTCCATGTATGAGGTTCCAGGCATCGAACTCAGGTCAGCAGGCTTGGGAACAAGTCCTTTTAAAAGCCCACTAAGCTGTGTTCCTACTCTCTAATGTTTTTATATGAAGATAGTTGGCTAAAGCACTCTGCATATATACCAAAAGAAAATGTGGGGTTATAGCAAGCAAGAGAATTTTTGCTAGATCCAGCACTGCCAGGACCTTGCTCCAAGATTTTCAGCCTTTTTAACTTCTATAGTTGATTGTATAAGCTGAACTGACCAAGATAATTGCTCACAAAATAGGAAGAAACATTTGCAAATCACCGATCTGATAAGAGCACGTGTTGAGCTATATGAAGAAATCTTACTGTTGAGTAATGACTTAAATTTTAAAAATGAGCAGACATGGGCTGGAGAGGTGGCTCAGAGGTTAAGAGCATTGGCTGCTCTTCCAGAGGTCCTGAGTTCAATTCCCAGCAACCACATGGTGGCTCACAACCATCTGTACTGAGATCTGGCGCCCTCCTCTGGCGTGCGGGCATACATCGAGGCAGAATGTTGTATACATAATAAATAAATAAATCTTTAAAAAAAATGAGCAGACATGGTAGATAAAGCAAAGTTCTCACTATGCAGACTTGAGGACCTGAGTT